CCGAGTAAACATCTCCCGAGCTATGAGCATCCCATGGATTTCTTTTCCAGGGAGGTAAGGCACACGGTTTGTCTACATACTTAAGGTTTAACCCTCAGTTCGTACGTCACAGGAAACACATTACGTCTCCGCAACAATGCCCAACCGGTTAATGCTGTATGGGGGCACTGTCACTGTCTACTGTGAGACTCACACGAGTCTTATGTTACGACCGACGGTGAGTCGGCCAGTCTGTCTTGGAATAAAGCACCCATGTGGGGCTTACGGCCATATTCCTATTACTGCCAGACAGTTGCGGGTTTGTTGATGTGGAGCGCTTTCTGACGAGAGGACGGGTCTGTCGCTTACAATTGCTGCTGGTTCTCGCCAGCGCAGTCATTTTCTGGTCCGAGTCCCGTGGAACCCGCGACCATATTTTCGAGAACCATACGGAATACACAAGTAGTGTATAAAGTTCCAGTTCGTACGTCAGAGGAAACATATTACGTCACCGTTACAAAGCCCAACCGGTTAATGCTGTTAAGGGAATCAGTCTCTGTTTATTGTGAGAACCATAAGGAACACACAAATACATTCTGTGGGCAGAAAACTCAGTTCATACCTCACAGGAAGCATTACGTCACCGTTACAAAGCCCAACCGGTTAATGCTGTTTAGGGAAACAGTCGCTGTTTATTGTGAGAACCATACGGAACACAGAAATACACTCTGTGGGCAGAGTGCAGAGTTTAGGTATGTTAACGCAGGAGGTTGGGCTGTAAAAGGTTAACCTTTTAGAATTGTTTTGCTGATCACCCAAGAGCAGGCTTGCTCAACCCTTTTTTGTTGCATGGGAAAACTTAGGCAAAATTTGGTGTTTGTGCGGATAATTTGAAGTTCAGTACCTAAAATGTAGCATGTATAAATACACTTATATATTTTTATATGCGTATTTTCCTGTGCTAAGTAAAGAACGCCATCAAGCTGAGCCCTTCTTGAGAAGCCGCCAGTTGCTCAGCTACTTAAGTATTTCCCACCGTTTTATGGAACCCAAATGTTCATTAACATGTTCACTAGAGCTCATTACCGGTCCCTATCCTGAGCCAGATCGATCCAGTCCATACCAGCACGTCCTATCTCTAAGATCCCGTTCAAGTCTCAGGACCTGTGTAACATTTCATAACAAAATTATTTTTTTACGGTGAGGAGTTGGTAGTACCATGCCCAACTCCCAAAGCTGGATGACCACTTCCTGTCGACTGTCTGCGACTGCTTATTCAATATACTCGCAGGTTCCCTCCATGTCTGGAGGCCGTCTCCTCCATCCGCAGCCCGAGGGCGCGCCATGCCGTGGTGATAAGGGACCCACCAAACGTGGATATTGTCTGTACAGTATATACAGTAGAATCCAATGATAGGACGTGTTTATTTTCAGCACGTTATTACAAAATTAGTTGGTAAGATATGTCTCCGGAAACAGAAGCTCATAACGTTTTGAAAATATTAAAAGCATTTCCATAAAATAAATCCTAAAGAAGGAAAAGAGACGATGTAAGTTGATTCACATACAGGGGGGATTTTTGCTTTATTGACCGGTTCAACGGCTCTGCGTTTCACGGCGGCTAGTGTGCCGCTTTCTGCGAGGCGCATACCAGTTTTACCGATGAATCAGCATGTCTGACGGCCGATAACGTTCGGTATGAAGTAGTTATAATTCATAGATCGCAGGTGTTGAAAGTGCTGTCCTCTCTACACTTACAATTTTTTTTCCACTTAATTATTTCGTTAAACACACTGGTACAACAAACCTTCTTACACTTACAGCACACCAGGCACCAACTTTCACTGGATGGAGCTGGACTTCTTGGATTAGATATGGATTCTGTGATCTCCAGTAGCTATTATTTTGCGTATTTACGTATCCCTGCAAGTGAAATAACGTTTCATAAAAAAGAATGTCATTTGCGGTTCTATCTCACCTTCGACGACAGACTGTGGAAACCAGCTGCAAAAATGACCCATAATAGCTGGATCACGCCGCTGCAAGGTGTTCGTGGGTTGCTGTTGCTTTATAGGGTCTAAGCTTCAGCAATTGTGTTGCCGTTCTTGCACTAGACTCTGACACTCCAGCCTCTTGAGCTAGACGTTTCAGCGATTTTTTAGGCGTATGTTCAAGTGTGGCCCCTGTGTCATTAACTTTTCCTCAGTAAGCACTTGGCGCTTTTTTTTTTTTTTTTGTTCCTTGACTATTAAGATTCCTGTTGTTCTAAATTTATTCATCAAATTTTGAATTTGTGTCTGCTGGGAACTCTTTTCATCACGAAATTTTCGCCGACACTTTCCAGCAGACCCGTATTTCACGTAGGTGTCATACAGAAATACTTGTTGCTCTAAAGTATACCGCCTCATGATGTACCGCGCTGCCGACTACCTGTTAACTGGGAACAAATGGCTAATGGCGCTGTTAACTGATGTTCACAACTCGTAAACTGCACCGCTCGCCATGAAACATAATTCCGTTAAGCATTTTTTATTGCTTTCTTGGCCACATTTATCATTTATGTTATTATTGTTGTAGGTGACATAAATGATAAATGTGGCCAAGAAAGCAATAGAATAAAAAAATACTGCGATATTAAAATTTAGGACTTTTTTCACTTACGTCGCTTATGAACTTATTTAAGCCATACAAAGTACGGATACTCGTTAAACTGGACGGTAAACGAGGCCCTCCGACAAGAACTAGAGCTGCAGGCGGTACTGGTAGCAGCTAGACCTCATGAAGATAGCACCAAGACATACCGGAAGTACCGATCGCCCCACACCCAACACGTGACAATTTTGACTTAGTTCATCCTGGTCTGTCACACTGGCAGTAGTATCAAGGAATATTAACACCGTCCAGTGTGATCCTTTATATGTTTCGGTCTGAGATGGTCGCTCCGACAGAAACATGCAAAGGATGAAAGTTAAAAAAAAACAGTCACACTGGACGTCGTTAATAATCTTTTATACTAGGAATTTAAACTATTTTTGTCTAAGTAAGATTTTATTTTTTCACGGCGGTGACCGCGAAGAAAGCCATCTTCTGGGATGTGGCACCATGTGTCATCCGACGTTTCGGAGGAACTTATCGCCTACACTGCGCCACATCCCAGAAGACGGCATTCTTCATACTTTTGTGTAGGATTGTATCTGCTATACATCCTTGAGTAAAGTATAAATGAATCTACCGTTGGTGGTCATAATGGCTCAAGAACCTGTAATTCAAAAGTCGCTATCTGTGATAGCTGGAAACGGTTTGCGTAGTGAATGTCGGGTTTACTGGAATCAGGTTTCGTATCTGCGTGGATATTTGTGGCGTAGACCAGTCATGCAAACAGTTTGGGTATAAAGTTGGGCGAGCGAACGTCGGTCGGTCGGTCGGTCGGTCTGGTAGATAAAAATAGCCAACCGAGTGGTTTTGGAACTCAAGGACCTCCGTTGCCGCTATGTGCCGGCGAGAGTATGTTCCAATGCTATGTCAAATAGATCAATGAGTTTGCGTGCAGGATGTCAGGCAGCACAAGAATTTCAGTTGCTAACTGTGCACAGTAGAAGACAGCTGTAATCAGATGGAAGGTCTTTTTGTGAAGCACTTCCTCAAGAGGGTGAGTTGACTTCTGTTAACAGATGAGCGCAGGTGTGAGGTGTTGGTTCAAATGCCAGTAACCAATAAGGAAAACGTCTTCCGTCTCTTTGCCACATTAATGCGAACAGTGCATTGTTTTGTTGTAACCGAGTGCGAGAAGAGTGTTATGAACTCCTGATTACGCGGCAAGTTTATCCTGGCTCATTTTAGGATCTTTTTTAAATTCATAATTCGTGAATTGTTATAGCATAGTTAGTTAGGGGCACAATGCTACAAGTCGGAAGTTCGCGGGTTCGATTGCCTATAAAGTCATTGGATTTTTCATTTGACCGAATCTTTCCACCTGCACTATGGCCCTTGGGGTAAAAGGCGTCCGGCCCGCGCGTAAGGCGGTATTTTAATAATGTACATTTTTAATAAATTAATATGTAATTATTTACGAATGCTAATATTGTCATCCAGCAGAACATCATAGTAAATATGGGCCCATATGAGAAGTAAGATGGTTTGCAATTGAAAAGGGCATTTGTTAAACAGCTGAATTCACCTGATGATGACCGAAAATGGTCGAAACATTTTGTGATATTAATAAAACAATTTGAATGGTATACGTTGAGTTGCGTTAGATGAAGAAGCCCAATAGAATAGTTTGCAAGTACGCAACATGGATGCACCCTATAAAGAAGGTGGTTACTTCATATTTCCATTCGCGTAGACTTTGGATTTTGTGTGATTTTATTTTTGCAACAAGAATCACAAAAACTTAATGGGCGTGTTATTCATACACAGTTTTAGTTCCTATGTTTCGGTTGTAATTACTAATATATTTCTGATGCACATATTCTTGTAGTACCTAAATTTTAAGAGAAAACACTAATATATAAAAGGATACAATCTCTGGTACCACATATCTTGACGGTTCCCTTTTACAGGAATTGGCTTTAGATTTGGATACCTACTGTGAATTTCCGGCAGGGGTTAAAAGTGTTTTGTAATCATTGTGCAGTACATTTAATATCACAATGGAACTGTCAGTCTGTGGTTCATGAACCTTTTTTTATTGCTGGTGGGGTGGGACTAAGTCCCTTGTACTGCGGCCACTTCTGGCCTACTGTACCAGCCCCAGATGATAGGTGAGGGTGATTGTGGAGCAATTGGTGGAATGAAGATTGGCAGGGGAAACCGAAGTACTCGGATAAAACCTGCCCCAGCGCCACTTTGTCCACCACAAATCCTACTTGACCAGACCCGGGATCAAACCCGGGCCGCCGCGGTGGTAAGCCAGCGACTAACTGCTTGAGTTATGGCGCGACTTTCATGAACCCTTAGTTGTATATTTTTCTGCCAGAAAAGCATGTGATGGTGCGAGTAACACGTAATCTCCGTTACAGACGGTGAGCGCAACACAGCGGGCTCGACCTCTGGAACCCCTGGAACAAAGTGCCGTCATGGAGACAACCCCCACGCTACAAGTGCGAACGAATAGCGGCGAGGACTTGAGTGACGGCTGTAGGTCGCCAGTTGCTCCAGGACCTGCCACTGTTCGCAACAGAGAGAAGGAAGCTGCGGAAAAGAAGAAGAAGAAGTGGTCACTGGGAGGTTTGTTTCGGAGACGTAAGAAGGATATCAGTTCAGAAAGTAGTTCGCAGGATGAGGAAGAGGAACAAGTACCACGGAAGGGTTTTCTTGCCCGCCGTCGTTCTCGTAGAGAAAAGAGGAAATCTCGAATTAACAGAACAGTTGGCACTTTTGATCACATTGTTGTGAACCCTTTGACTCAGAACCTAAAGTCGCCTGTTCGTACTGAAGGTGGCAGTGCGATACACGACGTGAATGGATGTGTTGGGGATACTAATGCCAATACGTTGCTGAGGGTGAATGAGTGTCAGCATCACGATGATGGGCGGAGAAGCCGAAGTAGAGAGCCTCTACAAGGTGGCAGTATTGATAGGTTGTCTTCACGCTCAAGTCGCGATTCGTACCAGCACCACCTCCGGCAAGACTCCAGCCTGTCCCGTAACAGCAGTGGTGGATCGGGTTCTTTTGAACAGGGCTGTGGTTTTCGACGGGGAAGACGTGACGCTGTTAAAGCGAGAGCCGAAGCACTTCGGGATCGTCAGAGAGCAGAGTCGAGTTCTGGGGATGACGAGTTTTCCACAAGTTCGGCTTTGTCGCGGTTTAAGAGTGATGACGCTTTGTCTGTATCCCATCAAAGGGACGGATCTTTGAACAGGAGATCCCGAGTAGCAAGAACTGAACGTTATATTAAACGCTTATCACGGGACGAAGACGGTCTCATGAAAAGTGATGTTAGAGAAAATGAATTCCAAAGACAGCAGAGACTTTGTAAATCTGACGCAGAAGGAAATCTTAGATCTTCTATCAACAGAAACAGAGGTATTTCCAGCGGTACCAGATGGGCAGCTGTTACTGCTGCTTATCAAGAATCTTGTGATCTTGAGCATCCCAAGTTGCTTATGAGGGCATCTTCGGCTACGCCAAGTCCAGGACATAGTCCACTAGTTAGACCGAAAAATATTTTGCATTACACGAAGTCTGCCCCTCCTTGCCCTCAGGTAGGATATAGTGCATCAACATCAACGTTTCCTCCCCCTCATAGTATTCATTACGCCACACCAGTTACTACCAATAGCTTGGATCGAAAGACTGCACAGCACTGCGTACGTGCTCTCGGGGCTTCACCTTTATTACCATCGAATACAAGCTCAGAGTCTCTTCTGACTGTAGAAATACCTCGTGCCCGCATTAGTGACTACAGGCAAATCAAGCCAAACTTCGAATACGGAATGGGTGGGAGAAGTGACAGAGAATATATCGAACTCCAAAACCCAGGACAGCGAAGCTTGTCGTATGATAGCTACATTAATCGTGTTATGCCCAAGTATGGTTCAGGCCCTGGTGGTCCTTGCCCTACACGCGAGTCAAAGGAAGTGGTGATGCAGTTCCCAGGTTCGAGACTACAACCGTCGCGGAGTTTGGAGTGTAGAAGTGGCAGTTCTGGGTTTGTAGCTGTGAAGCATGGTCCCCCGCCCCCACCCCCGCGTGACCCTCAGCGCCGGTTACTGTGTCCTCCGTCTTGTCAGCAGGACCAATCGAGACCTACGTCATTTGCATGTGATGGCAATAACCATAACCGTTTCCAACTGCAGCAAGAGTACCAGCAACAGACTGATCTCAACACTGCTGGCGTGTCACCATTCGCCATTCCACACATGGTTCACAAAGCCTGCGGTGATTCAACCGGTTGTGATACGCCTTGGACTCCGAACTGCCAGAGACGTTGTAGCTCGGACAACCAGCTAGCCACACTTCATTTCGGCCATCAGCCTCATATTTTGCGTACTCATGCATATAATCCCATCGGTCGTCCTCTGCAGTCATCAGGCACTCCTGAATCAGTTATCCCTGTATCGTATCAACAGCAATACAGTGCAAATGGGAATAAGTTCGTTTTAAGAACTACACCTCCTGATACCTATAGTTCCTCCCCTAAGCAGTCTGTAGCTATGGGGCAACAACAACAACAGTTTCAGTATTTCGCTGATCAACACCCTAGAAGCAGAAGGCCAATCCACATACAGTTTAATAGTGCTGTTTCTGGTAGTGATCAGCCGTATTTGAGTGATTCACAAGTTGTGTTAATGAAACCACCTCATCAGCATCAAGATAAGCGTCACCCTATGCAACACGCCACGGAGTTCTGGCGCCAGAAAGATCAGGAAGGTGTAATAAAGCAAAGAAAATCATTGGTCATTTCACCAAGATTGCCTCTTCATCATACAAGCAGAAACGATCGTTCCAGGTCTAACAGCCCTAGACGGAAGGAACTTCCTATAGGTCAGGTGACAAATTCCAGTTCATCACCCCATATAGCAAAGTCTTCGAAAATTAGGGTTCCACCCCTTTCAATACCTGCAGTGCGCCCTGCAGATTCTCTTAGCTCATTGAGTGGCCATTCTGATATATCCAGTCCAATGCAAATTAGTTCGTCTGGTCAGTTCTCGCCAGATGTTGCTGTGCATGAGAACTATGAATCCTCCGGTGGAATGGATAGTTCGAGAAGAAAAGAAAGCTCGGGCACTCACCGCCCCCTTTCTATGGTTCTCGAGAAATCAGAAACTCCAGATCAGCTGCATCGCCATGAACCAACAGAAGAGGTTCCTTTATTGAAAATTGTAGAACATGATCAACAGCAACAATCTGTCTCTGACTCAGTAACGACAGTGCCACCAGTGCCACCTGCCCGTAGATACTCTCGCCAGAGTTCCGCATCTAGTATTGAAGCCGCTGACTGGATGTCTGAAGATGCTGGAACGTCAGAAGAAGGTCACAAGAAAAAGAGGAAGTCTAGTAATCTGGAAGACGCCCTCACAGAATTGGAAGCCATTTATAAGAGCTTGAAACTGGGTGATGAGGATCTTCTGGACCGTGCTGAAAGAAGAGATCTGCCGGTTGCGCACCAGAAACTTGGCGGTGGTACGTCTGAGATGGCCCAGCCATTGTCATCTTCTTGGGGTGCATCACGTGGAGCAGAGTCCGACTCCGGATACAATTTTAGTTGGGGATCATCCTCTTTTGAATCTGTTTTCGACGGCAGGGATCCACCACAGAGGAAACGTGCTCCCTCTATACGACGGTCAGGTATTCCTGATAAAGTAATGGATGACATGGCATATCGTCGTCTTCATCCAAAAGACCGGCCTGGTTCTCAAGATATCCGAAGCCTTGTGTCCCAAGCAGGTAGTTATCTCGTTGCATCTCCTGCCGCAGCTGCTGCTGTGATAAATCCGGGGGACCTGCCTCAGAAGCCTCTGTATGCTTCAACAAGCCAAGAACCTGATGTAACATTAGATGATGTGGTGTTCAGAAACATTCGTCACGTTAACAACACACTCAAAGTCCCAGATCCACAACCACCGTTCGGAATACCGCTTGGTCCCATTACCCCTGCACCCAATACTGACTATCTCCATGTAATCCCCATTGACAATTATCGTTCAATGTTCAAACCCAGGCGGATACCAGATATTGTGAAAGACGATTTGGCTTATCGTAATTTAAGAAAAGACTCTCAGAAAGAACCTTCTTTTAATTTGCGCAAGATTGCTGCTGATATGAGCAGTATTTTGAACAAAACATTAACCCCTAGTTCTCATTCGAAAAATGACAATTTCTCCATGAGGAAAAGAAGAGCTGTGAGATCTCTTTCGGCTAATATACACAGCCTTGTGAAGAGAGAGCCCTTCATGCTTTCATCCAGAGATAATGAACACGATTTTGAAAAAGCTCAAAGTCTGTCGGATCTCCCTGACGCTTTGCAGGTGGCACAGAGAATTTTAGAAGGAAAGGAGGTAATTGGCGGTGGTTCTGTTAAAGTTCGTAACCTAACAACAGGATCATGTAGTGAACGTTCTGTTGATAAAGATATTTTACCATTGACACAAGAAAGTCGCCGTTTGTGCCGTTCGCCAGGCAGTAGCTGGGCTGAGCGTGCCTCCCTCTCAGACTATGGTGACAGATCGTCTTTCTTCGCTAATACAAGCACGGAAACACTTACCGACAGTAGGCCCAATCTCCTGCAGCAGGATCCAGGGTCAGATAAAAGGCACAGCTGGCAGCAGAGACTCAGGGTGTTTATTCCATCAAGTACAGTCAGTGACAGTAATGAAGATAACTTTGTTCCGTGTGATATAACTTCCGCACAGAGACCACCACCCCCGCCAACTCCCGAAAGGAATTCTAGTCTTTTATTATCAGAATGCAATAAAGCAGATATTCATCAGAGACCACCACTTCCTCCTACCCCTGAAAGAAGTTCGTCGCGACGCCCGTCATTAGATCAGAATAAAGTTATGTCCACACTTACTCAGATGTCACCATCTGTAACACCTGACAGGGAAAGTCCTCGGCAACCACAAGACCACAGCCGAGCGTATGCCTCTAAAACGGACGAATCTGCGATTCCGGCTTCTGTTCTTGATAAACGTTCCGCTCGTAACTCGCTTGACTTGAGGTCTAGCAAATCTTTATCTCCAATGGACTCGTCATTGCCCATCCCAGAGGCAGTTCCAGGATCTCCTATAAATGAAAGACAACTTGAGGAGCTTCTATCAGCTCTAGCTCGAGAAGCTAAAGCGACTAGTGAGAAACTGGAACGTGAACTCGAGGAACTACAGGGAAATTCTCAGCAAGGGACCGACACTGCAGAACAACCAGTGCTAGAGAAAGATCATCAGTTGACTGAAGGACAAAGACCTGAGTGTCAAGTAGGGAAGAAACTCTCACAAACTGGTGAGGAGAAGTACGAACTCCAAGAACAGAAGTCGGTAATACTACAAGGAGAATGTAAATTGGAAAACCAAAAGATTGGAGATCAGAAGTCACAGCCTCAGATGGAAGTACAGCAAGAGCAGGAGAAACAGTCAAACCAGGAGTCACAAGAACGTGAGAGAGGACAGATAAGTGAAGGCTCCAAACAGTATGGATCGGTCTCGAAATCTCAGTGTACGGGGAAGAAAGATAATGTTTTGAGGGAAATGGTTAAAGGAAGCGATAAACCATCTCCATTGTGCCATACGCAGGTTGAGAGTTCAAGTACGATTACTCAGTCTACAGAGAAGCGCGTTACGAAAGAGAGTCTTCACATAGAAGAATCGCCGTGTGACAAGAAATTCGAACAAACCCCGAGTAACTTAAGTGAAGATACCGATGCGGCAGGCAAAGAACAGAGGTCAGACATTGTCCCTAACATCGTTGACTCCGGCCGAGATGCACATCATGAAGTGCCGCGTGGTAATGCTGACACATCGAAGGAAAACACAGGTCATTGCGATGAGACAGATTCGTCGAATAATACTGCAAGCCGGTGTGATGACTCTGATGCCTCTTTCAAAACTGCGAGGGTGGAGTCAAGTAGCCCGTCACTGAATCATGACCACGAAGGGGACACAGGTGAAGTCACGGAGCCACAACAAAGAAGCACCGCAGCTAATGAACCTGTAGAAACGAATGCGAATGCGCAGTTTTCAGAATCTCTTGAAGAACAAATTTCCAAAAGTGCCGAAACTCAGGACCTCAGTCTGTCAGCATCTGAGCTCGAGTGCGGTGTTCAGTGCGCAAAGGTTGCCGCCGCCAGCGGTGATGTTGAAGTTTCTAATGAACTCGATAATTCAGCTGCAGAACGCCAGATGTCGAAGAGTTGCGCAGAAGGTGAGACGTTAGGAGCATCAGCATCGCCTTCTGCAGCAGCAGCAGCCGGTTGGTATTGTCTTCCTCCGGTAGCGGATCCTGCCACTGTGTTGGTTGCATGCTCCTACTGCATTGCATGTGTGCACCAGATCGCGGGCCTCGACTGCTTGACAGTTCTCAGTATCATCCTTGCCGTCGTATCCCTGGTAGCAGCCCTAGTCCTGTAGCACCGCACATTTGGCACACCTGCGATAGAAATCAGTCACCACAATTTCACAGAACTGTCACGTTGGTGTTCACCAGTACAGATGCAGCCTTGGGTCCACCGCGCACCCCTTGAGCACCCCTGCCGTATATAGACTCATCTAGTTCCTGCACTTGCCATAAGAAGTAAGTCGCAAGTTGTTGCCTCCTTGACACTTTGCTGAAGTCATTTCGAATGGATAGCCGTGGGCCACTGTCAAGCTCTGAACAGCGGGATTAGACCGTTGTATGTGTCAGGCCGCGTGCGGTGGCGTAGTTGCTTTAGGCACCATGCTACAAGCCGGAAGGTCACAGGTTCGATTCCTGATGAGGTTATTGAATTTTTCAGTTGATGTAATCCTTCCAGCCGCGCCGTGGCCTTGGGGTCGACTCAGCCTCTAACATAAATTAGTACCAGGAATCTTCTGGGGGTATAGGTGCGGCCGGCGCGTAAGGCTAACAGCCTCACAAACATCTGTGAGCCTCGACGTCATTCTCATTCTACCATTTACATTTATCTGGGATGTACGATTCAGTAAGTACCAATCATCGGATGAGAACCTGTTTGTGACAGATTTAAAAAGGATTACCGTTCTATTCAAAACAGCACACTTCGCAATATTGGGTGAACAGTTTCTGATAGGGCCAGTCACAGTGGCCGGACCGTCTAAAGGCATGGTGTTCAAATCCGGCCCCTCCATAGCTCAAGCGGTTAGTCGATGGCTTCCCACTGGGGCGGCCTGGGTTCGATCTCGGGTGTGGTTAAGTGGGATTTGTGGTGGACAAAATGGCTCTGGGTCAGGTTTTCCCCGAGTACTTAGGTTTCCCCTGCCAATCTTCATTCCACCAAATTTTCCATCATCATAATCACCTGACGCAGATGCAATAGGCCAATCAGTGGCCGCCGTGCCGAGTGGACCCAGCTGGACTTCACCCCCCACTATGCGAAAAAAATTGGGTTCAAATTCCACTCAAGGCATGGACGTCTATGTGTGCGTTTATTCAGTGTTTATATTGTTCTGTGTAGATAGCGGTCTTGCGTCGGGCTGATCCCTCGTCCGGAGAGTCCTGCCGACTGTTTAAGATTAAGAAATTTAAGTGAAACGAAGCGTTTCGCATATGCCCTGTGCTCCAAGTGGGGGCAGCAGAAATGAAGATAGATACATGGATAGCGTGTCCAAAAATGACTTTGGCAGAATTACATCAGTTAGAGCACGTATAATTATCTACTGGTAGCCATTATATTAGCTCTTAATCAAGATCCCAGGTATGTGAAGGGCGGTGACAGATTCTGTTACGGATGTGCCCTACTCTGCAAGTCGTAGACCATTGTAACCGGGATGACAGAGCTTGCACTTATCTTGTGGCAAGTCAGAAACTAAGTGACGTCCGTGTTGCACGTAATCAGTATATTAATATATATATGTTCTGAGATTTTATGCCTTCAAGTGTCAGTTTCTGTCCAGAGTCAATTATTGTTAGTATAAAAATATTTGTCCACAATTTGACCTCTGTTCATGGGTTATTTATGGACGCTTTCAGTATGAAGGTTGTACAACGCCTGTGGTTTTTGTTACAGTTAATGAGCTGTACATGGGCATTTCTAGTGTCTTCATTTTAAATTCTTTTCATGGTTCTGATACACCAAATGCTTGTCTTAACGAACTGGTTCCATTATACTAAATGTGAGCAGACTTTTTTTATTATGTACAACAAAGTGGCTGTTAATGTTTTACACATTGTTGCATATTAACATTTGTAATCCCCAAACTCGTTTACCCTGACTTGACCATGCCTCAAATAAGTGGTGTCTGTGATAGACGGGGTCCTGTGCAGACTGTGTGATTACAAAATCTCGTAACTGCCTAACTGTGAACTTTTGAAAATTACCTTAATATTAAGTTTTGTGATGTTTGTTTTGTAATTATGTGTGAAGTGATAATTTTAATGATGCAGATAGTCGATTATGGTGGTGTAGACAGCGATCAATTAATCTCTGTACTGAGATTTTCAGAAATCCTGTGTAAAATATTTCAGTTTATGAAACTGTAATACGCTGTGTATGAATTGAGGTACGATCTACATGGACGCTATGATACTTTTTTTTTTGAGCGTCGGTAAACGCGAACAACTAACCTCCCTTTTCCAAAATTACAACTCTTCCACGTTATAAATATGTGTTAAGTTTGTTTTTGTTGTCCCTGGCCGTAATATATAGGCCTACGTTTTATATAAATAACAATTGATGCCAAAGTAAACAAAGCTAATTTCTTGAATCAGACCAAATTAATAAGATTTGAGGTTTTCACGGCGGTGACTAAAGAATTCCGTCTTCTGGGACGTGGCGTTATGTATATCCTGTGTGAACCGACGTTTCGGAGAAATGTATCGCCTCCATCTTCACGGTAGAAAAATCCGCGAGCGAGGAACCAGCGTGAGGACGTGGGTGCAGACTGCAGCCACCTGGTCACCCTGAAGATTGAGACGATACTTTCTTCCGAAACGTCTGTTCATAAAGATGTACAAGGTGCCACATCCCAAAAGACGGAATTCTTCAGACTGAATTTGTCTATGTATATTTAATAAAGTTACCCTGCCAGTACAACGCGGGTGTCAAGCATAACCTCAGACAACAGACAAAGTCGAATAGAATTTCGGCACATTAACAGTCAGTTTTTTTTTCCTGAAACCATACATGGAAGCGTTAGTGAATCATAATTGTAGATATATATGGATATTAATTGACAAAGCATGTAGCATGGTTTTATTTTGTATGATGTGCAATTGTTATGTATGATTGATTTTACCATTTACTAAGATCAGAGTTCAAGAAATGCTTGTTCGCTTTCACATCCTTTCCTGTAGAAAGCAATAAAGAAATGTACAGCACCTGCACGTATATGTACTGTTTATTTGTACCTTTAGCAGTAGCCGATAAGTACCACGTAAGTATTACATGAATTCAAAGTGAACTGCCCTGAAGGCCACATTTGTTGCTGAAGTGTGTTGTTGCATAGCGGTGTGTGATGTTGTGTTGTTTTCTTGTGTACGCTGGAATTAATGAACTTCTGAAGTCTCAAGTTAAAAATACATGTAACTACAGAGAAAATCATAACAAATGCATGTTCTTTGATTATTATCGTGTGTCGAAAAGGTCTTTTAGGGTGTGTCACTGTGACATGGTGACGTATGTAGTTGTGATTGTCGTTATAAAGCAGATTATGTTTTTAACATGCGATGGGGACCAAACTCAGCAGTATGTTAATGCGTTATGTTGTTATAGGAGGAATCTACCACTGCACTATTTTTATGAAAATTATATTTTTATGAAACTGACCCTTATTGCAGTATTCCTGCTTGTGACACCTTGTAACATTGGAGGTGGATATTAACATTTCCATCTTCAGATTTGACTGTAATATCCATATCCAAGGCTACAGGCTGTCACAGGTCACAGAATCATAGATCTTACGCCTTGAAGACGTGGTGAAACTTGTGTTGTTTAATGTCGCCAGAGTTTTATTATTTTATTGTGTTACGCCACTTAAGTTACTTTGACATCAGTCTCTGTGTTCCTTATCCTATGACGTTCCTAGAATGGTGTATACCATAGTTTTTAATTACATTTTTTACCAGGGTTGGCCAGGATACTGCCCACGTTGGACAGTTCAGCAGTCGTTTTGACTAGTGCGCAAAAAAAGTTAACCTCTGGCATTTCTCGGAATCCATTTCACAAGCAAATAAATTCGTCTTAAAATTTTGTATTTAATCTGGAATTATGTTTCAAACATACATAATGCAAGGGGGTACTAATTTGTTCCAAAGTTAGGGGAAACCGGGGTATATTGCAACAAATATTAAAATCTCTTTCTTTCTCTCTCGCTTTTGTTTAATGAATACTGTTGTTGCATTTCAGTTTATATTTATTTTTGGATATAAATAGGAAGCTTTACATTGGATAGGGGCTGGGTGGGCCCCATAGCTGGAATGGACGCTGTTTAGGAAAAATCTTTCCTCCTGCCGGAAATCGAACCCCGGCCGTCCATCTCGTTGTTACACCGACTGAGCTGTCCCGGCTCCTAATTCAGTCACACATTCTCAGAATTTCAGTCATACAGATGATAGATTCGTTCAGTTGACAGGCCAAATCCATCGTTAAGTCTCGCGACGTGGGCCACATTCATGACCCGAGCAGTGTTCGAAGCCGAGATCGCAGTGTGTACGATGCCGATGCCAGTTGTCCTTTATAATGTACATTTCTTGTTACGTAACATAGTCACTTCCGGTGTATGTGTTCTCCCAAAGGGTAATTCGTCACATCTGAACGAGTTCCTCTACGTCAGAGGCAGCTTTTTACCAAGTGTTCAGCAGGGTATGATTTCCGATTGTGCTTTGTTGGGTGCTTTTTCCCCCCCCCCCCTCCTTTTCAGGATTTGCGTCAAAGTTAATTTACGTCTTCGGGCTTCCAGCATCCCAGTGACAATCTAGAACCTTAGACGACACTATGTAAGATTTGAGGCTTTCACGGCGGTGACTATGAAGAANCTTCTACCCTGAAGATGGGGGCGATACGTTCCTCCGAAACGTCGGTTAACACCACATATACACGGTTGCCAAATCCCAGAAGACTGCTTTCTTCTTAGACGACAAGTTTTGGCTTATCGGGGCGGGAAGCTACAGTTAACGCGCAGTTGGTCCCGCCCAAACCCTGTATTCACTCCTGTCCCACGCCAGGCCCATCATATCCTCTTTGACTTCATCTCTAAAAGATTCTCACAGCCGTAGTTGTGAAGTGTTCTGTCTTCTGGGATATAGCGCCCTGAAGT